TGTCCAACTCTTTGTGACCCCATAGACTACACAGTCCATGGAATTCTCCAGACCAGAATACTGGAGTGGGTAGCTGTTCCCTTCTCCAGGGGATCTTCCCAACCCAGGGATCAAACTCAGGTCTCCCACATTATAGGCAGATTCTCTACCAGCTGAGCCACAAGGGAAGCCCAAGAATACGGGTGGGTAGCCTCACCCGTTTTTGGAATCTTCTTTAATAAGAAATGCAAGCTCAGGTACCAGGCTGCAGAAGAAGCCGTGAAGCTATGCATCCATTCCACATAGTGAATCACCTTGAGGAGGGGGGCGTGGGGAGAAGGGCACGGGACCCGCTTGCCACTGTAAACCCCAGCGTGCAGAGGGGTTTGCACCACAGTTGGTGGCTGAGGGAATGAAACCTTGATGGTGATGCTGGGTGGTGAAGGGGGCTGGTCCTTCCTCCGCGTTGTGACTCACGCGTGGACGCACAGGTATCCAAGCTCGTCCAACTCCAGACGTCTTTCCTCTAAACCAGGGGTTGGCAACCTTTTTCTGTAAGAGGCCAGAGGGTAAATCTTTGAGGCTTTGTGGGTCATACGGTTCCTGTCTCAGCAAGTCCACGCAGCTCTTGGACCACAGGGCGTTCGTGGGTGACGGATGCACCAGCAGGACTGAGTTCCAATTTAATTTTATTTCTGAAAATAGGAGATGAGCCAGATCTGGGCTCTACGCTGCCCTTTGCTCTAGATCACAGGTTTTTAAGCTTTAAAACCAAAATCTGTGTTTTTTTTTTTTAACAACAGCTTTGACCACACCCCAAACGTCAAGCTGATCAAAGTGGTTGCTCCAGTCCAAGTCTGGGTGGGTGGGAAGCGGCCCAGAGCCTGACTCCTCTCGTGGAAGCCCCGGGAGACCTCCATGGAGCCTCTGGGGCCCCCGGGGCCCCGTGTGAACCCAGCGCCCCACCCTCACGTGCTCAGGGACGACCCTCAGGCCTTGGCTGTAATGTCGCCCCTTGCCCCATCACTGTACTGGGATGTGGTTGAGAGTGTGGACAGCAGTCTTTCCCTCACCGTGGCATCTGGTGGTGTCGGGCTCAGACGCAGCTGCCTCACTTAGCACATCGAGGAGCATGGTCTAACACTGGTCGGTCCTGGCTCAGGGCGGCCTGATGCTGAGCTGCGGGAGTCTAGGGCTGGGAGAGAGCGAGGCTGGGCTTCTCCCCCGTTCGACGCTGTCTGCCACTGTTCAGCTGAGGATGGGGCCCGCGGGGTCCTGAGGTCATTCACGTCCAAACCATCCTCTCGCCCACGCCGTGGCTTCCCCTTCTCACAGGTGGTCAGCTCGGTCTGCCCCTGATGTTTCCGGAAAGAACCCTTCAGGCTTCTCACGGGAAAGATCGGGAGAAGATGTGGTGGGGTGTGTGTGTGTGTGTTCTTATAGGAAAGATCAGGAAAAGGTGTGTGTGTGTGTGTGTTCTCACGGGAGTGATCAGGAGAAGGTAGGTGGTGTGTGTGTATTCTCACGGGAGTGATCAGAAGGTGGGTGGTGTGTGTGTGTGTGTGTGTGTGTGTGTGTGTGTGTGTGTGTGTGTGTATTCTCATGGGAGTGATCAGAAGGTGGGTGGTGTGTGTGTGTGTGTGTGCCTGCTCACGGGAGTGATCAGAAGGTGTGTGTGTGTGTGTGTGTGTGCCTGCTCACGGGAGTGATCAGAAGGTGTGTGTGTGTGTGCGTGTGTGTGAGGAGGAAGGAGGTGGCTGGGGCAGTTGCTCGGCGTGTGCTGGTCCTTCAATAGAAAGGGGAATAACCGCCAAGGGCGCTGCGATGGGTCACTTTATGTGTCAGTGTGACCGGGCCACGGGACGCCCCGATAGCTAGTGAGAAGGCATGTCTGCAGTGTCTCTGAGGATGTTTCCAGAAAGGTCAGAGCTGGACTCAGGTGGCTGAGTGAAGCAGACAGGGCTCTCAGTGAGGGTGCAGCACCCGGCCTGGGAGGCCTGAGAACGCGGTGGACGCAGGGAGCGTTCACTCTCCGCCCGAGAGCGGGGCGGACACGGCTCTCCTTCGCCTGACGGGGCCTCACCCTGCAGGCCTGGACTGCGCCTCCGCCGCCGGCTTTCCTGGACCCCCATCTGCACAGAGCAGGTCGGCAGGCTTCTCAGCTTCCAGGATCACAAGAGCCGACTGCTCATCATAAATACACTCAAATTACTGCTGTCTACCCACTCTAGTACCCTTGCCTGGACAATTCCATGGACAGAGGCTATGGTTCATGGGCTAACAGGGTCCAACGTGACTGAGCGCCTAACACTTTCACTTTTCAACACACAGCTATTTTAAATATATATATATGTATATATATATAAATATATCTGTATGTATATATATCTGTATGTACATATAAATATATCTGTATATATATATCTATATATATAAATATCTCTTATATATATATAAATATATCTGTATATATATTTATTTTATTGGTTCTGTTTCTTTGGGCAACACTGACTAACACAATACCTTATTCACTGTGTCTAGAATAATCCTCAGGAGGACTTCCCTGGCAGTCCAGGTGTTAAGACTCCATACTTCCACTGCAGGGGGTGCGGGTTCGATCCCTGGTCAGGGAACTAGATACCAAGTGCCTCAACTAAAGAGCTCGCGTGCCGCAACTAAGACCCAGCACAGCCACATAAATAAATATTTTTAAAAAGAAATAGTGCTCAGCACACACCCTCAATGTTGGATGAATTAAATTAACTGGGATGGCAGGCTTGAGAAGGCCTTGTAATCCCAGGACTCTCCTTTTTTGGCGGGCGGGCACACTACATGGAATCTTAGTTCCCCAACCACGGATTGAACCTGTGCCGCCTCCAGTGGAAGCTTGGAGCCTTAGCCACTGGACCACTAGTGAAGACCCTATCCCAGGATTCAAAGCTTTCATGCCAAAGTAAACAGTCTCCACAATGACAATGCAAATCTGGCCAAACAGAATTTTTTGTGAAGCTGATGGAAATGCTGAGGCCGCACTGCTCAGATCCCGTGCAAAGCTGTCAGCAAAAGAGGCTCTGGGGGCATGGAACCAGTTAGGAGGGAAGACAAGAAAATTTACAAGAAAATCAGGATCGATTCTCCAAATCGTAGTGATTTAGATAACAAAGTATTAAGAGAAACTTTTGGGAGAATTGATGACATCTGCAAATATTTTTATAAAAGTGACTTTGCTGTAAAAAATTGGAGACTATGTTATACAATCAGAGATTTTTATCTGAAAAATTATCCCCCTTTGTAAAATCTTGATTTATTTCTTGCTCATTTTGAAAATTAGCTGAAGTTGAAATTAAAATGGAAATGTTGCTAGGTATAATATTAAAAACACTTACTTAATTTCATTTTCCAGATGAAATTTCAACCCAAACCTTTTTTTCCCCATTATTTCCTTGGTACCGACAATCCTCAGACAACAAGGACTGTTTTCCATGACGCTGGGGTGGGAAAAACCTTTCTAAGCATGACACAAAATGCCGAAGAAAAAGACTGTCAGAGCTGACTGCTAAAAATGTGATAGCTTACATGACAGACTGAGAATAAACGAACTAAAAATAGAAAAATCTTTGTAACATATGTAGTCTACAGATGGTTAATAGCCATGATATATTTTGTGTTGGACAAAAAGTTCATTCGGGGTTTATAAGATGGTATGGAAAGACTTGAATGAACTTTTTGGTCAACCCAATAGAAAGCAAATACAATTCAATAAGGAAAAAAAAAAACAAAATTCAGTGGCAAAATAGGCAAAAACCATGGCTGGTGGATACATGGAAGAAGAAAGAGGGGCTGGGGTAAGACAAATCTGTGAAAGAATTCTTGCCTTTAACAGTAACTAGCAAAATGCAAATAAAACACCAAAACTCCACTTCAACCCATGGGTTGCCAAAGTCTCAGAAATAACACGCAATATTGGTACGTGTGTGCCCAGTAGCTTCAGTCGTGTCCGACTCTGTGACCCCGTGGACTGTAGCCCACCAGGCTCCTCTGTCCATGGGATTCTCCAGGCAAGAATACTGCAGTGGGGTGTCATGCCCTCCTCCAGGGGGTCTTCCCGATGCAGGGATTGAACCCCAATCTCTTACGTCTCCTTCACTGGCAGCAGGTTCTTTACCCCTAGCACTGCCTGGGAAGCCCTTTGCAGGTGCAAATAAATACCCATCTTGCATACATTTTCTCCTTTTGGGAGACACAATTTAGTAGAGTCAAACAAAATTATTATGTGTCTGCCTTTTAATATAGCAGTTACTCTTCTAGAAGAGAAATCTGTCCCCTAGAAATATACAGAATGGTCTACAAGTTGTCTGCAGGACTTAACTGGCAGTTAAGACTCTGTGCTTCCATTGCAGAGGGCACGGGTTTGATTCCTGGTCAGGGAACTAAGATCCCACATGCCATACAGCATAGTTAACAATATAAATAAATACATTGATTAAAATACAAGTCATTTGCTAAAATATTGTCATTGCAAAATTGGAAATATTGCAGTTACTGGGAATAACAGCTAATACTTACATGAGGCTCACTGTGGGCTGGTGGTTTTCTAAGCACTTTACAGCCCCCTCAGTGCTCTTCTTATCCCCATGATGCGGATGAAGGAGCTGAGACACACACAGCGAGGAAGCCAGCAGCTACCAGCAGGCAGAACGGTGGTGAGAGGTGACTCCAGCTGGTCTGGCATGAGTCTGGGCTCACCATCACTTGCTATTCAACCTGCGTTCCACGGAGGGTTGATTAACCAAGTTACAGGACACCCTGGCAAGGATCACGGAGACGCGCTGTAGGATGGAATGAGTGGGCGGCCGTGTACTCCATTTATGAAATACACAAGCTGTGGGCGTGTGGTGCACGTGTGCTGTGCGTAGCGTGCGTGTTGTGTACAGTATGTGTGGTATGTGCGAAGTGTGTGTGTAAATGCATGGATGAGAACAGGCTGGGAGGAGCCCCCAGCCCCGTCTCAGAGGTGGCACCTGTGACTGGGGGCCGGTGGTGCGGGGTGCTGGTGTCGGGAGCCTCTTCATTCCTACTCCACAGGTCTTCGATTGTTGATTCCGCAGGAGAACACATCTACCACGCGGATAGCTTTGAGATGCAGAAAGCAGGCCCTGAGGGGCTGAGAGACGTCTGACGCGGCCCACGAGCCGCTGAGACGTGGGGCCCATTGGCCAGCTCGCCCGCAGGCCGGGGCGGCGGGCAGGGAGGGAACACGTCTGAGGCTGGGGAGGCGGGCTGGGGGTGGCGGTGGGCCGGCGGCTGTCTGCCCCCCGGGGGCCCCCAGCCCGGGGCCTGAGCTGAGAAGGGGCAGAGCGGCATCTCTCGCCTGTCACGTCCACACCACTGCTCATGAGAGGCCGTTCCTAACGGTGATATTCTCACAGCCGACGGTGCCACTGGGCTTGCTCTTCACTGATTTCTTGTTCGTTTTGAGAATTAGCTGAAGTTGAAATTATAATGGAAATGTTGTCATGTGCATCAAGTAGGTTCCCTATTTAATTAAGCAACTGTTGAGGATTTATTTTGTTTTATTTTTATTTTTTGAAACGTCTGTTGGACTACAGCTGCTTTACACTGTCGTGTTAGTTTCGGCCGAACAGCAAGATGAATCGGCTGTACGTGTGCACGTGTCGACTCTTTGCGACCCCGTGGACTGTAGCCTGCCAGCTTCCCCTGTCCATGGGATGTCCCAGGCAAGAACACCAGAGTGGGATGTATACTTGTATCCCCACGTTTCTGGATTTCCTTCCCACTGAGGTCACCACAGAGCATTGCATACTGTTCCCTCTGCTACGCAGGAGGTTCTCATTAGTTATCTATTTTCTATGTTGTGCGTGTGCTCAGATGCTCCGTCATCTCCAACTCTTTTGTGGCCCCGTGGACTGTAGCCCGCCAGGCTCCCCTGTCCATGGGATTTTCCAGACAAGAATACTGGAGTGGGTTGCCATGCCTGTCTCCAGGGGATCTTCCCAACCCAGGGATCAAACCTAGGTCTCCTGCATTGCAGGCGGATTCTTTACTGTCTGAGCCCCCAGGCAAGCATTTTATACATAGCAGTGTATATACGTCAACCCCAGTCTCCCAATTCATCCTTCCCCGACCCCATTTAGGATTTATTTTGGCTGCAAATGAAATACCCCTAACTGATATATTCCTAATGACCATATCTACTTCTTTGTGTATCATCCATCCATCCATCATCCATCTTGTCAACCAGTTTTGGAAAGTACCTATAGTTTTGCAGGCAGGGAGCTGGGTGATGTCTTACTCAGAGCTGGGTGTGGCCCAGAGAAAGTTATTGGTTAGGTGCATGCTTGGAAGACGGATTCCTTGCTTTCATGCAACTCAGAGTTAAGAGGACACACACATTGTCAGTGACAATGCAGAGGCAGACTCGATGATGGGGCTTGATGTGGGACATAAAGGAGGTTTCCTGGTGACAAAGGTGGTGGAAGATGTACGGATGCTGAAGAGAGTGTGATACATTTGAGAAAGTGAGAACAAATTTACCGTGACTGACCCATGCAGGGTGGTGGTGAAGGTGGAGGGATGCAGTGAGGGAGGAGAGACTCGTGTGTGTGTGTGTGTGTGTGTGTGTGAAGGGCAGTCTGGGCACATGAGGCTATAGACATGAGAGGGAACTCTTGGGATCACCCTTTCTGATTTGAACCTGTGTTGCTAAGATCAGTGGTCTTCAGTCTTTGGCACCAGGGACTGGTTTCTTGGAAGACAATTTTTCCACTAACTGGGGTTAGGAGTGTGGTTTGGGGATGATTTAAGAGCGTTACATGTATTGTCCATTTTATTTCTATTGTTATTGTTACAGCAGCTCCCCCTCAGCTCATCAGGCATTAGATCCCGGAGGTTGGGGCCCCCTGACTAAGATGGTGAATGTGGAAGGTGACCTTACCTACTTTCATATTTTGGGAGGAGACGTTCTGTCAGTGGGATGCCTTTTAATTTTCATGCGGGTCACCAGTCAGAATGGCTGCTATCCAAAAGTCTACAAACAATAAATGCTGGAGAGGGTGTGGAGGAAAAGGAATCCTCTTACACTGTTGGTGGGAATGCAAACTAGTACAGCCACTATGGAGAACAGTGCGGAGATTCCTTAAAAAACTGAAAATGGAACTGCCATACGACCCAGCAATCCCACTGCTGGGCACACACACCAAGGAGAGCAGAATTGAAAGAGACATGTGTACCCCAATGTTTATTGCAGCACTGTTTACAATAGCCAGGACATGGAAGTAACATAGATGTCCATCGGCAGACAAATGGATGAGAGAGCTGTGGTACATATACATATACACAATGGAATATTACTCAACCATTAAAAGGAATGCATTTGAATCAGTTCTAATGAGGTGGATGAAACTGGAGCCTATTATACAGAGTGAAGTAAGCCAGAAAGATAAACACCAATACAATATATTAGCATATATATATGGAATTTAGAAAGATGGTAACGATGACCTTATATGCGAGAGAGCAAAAGAGACACAGATGTAAAGAAGAGACTTTTGGACTCTGGGGGAGAAGGCAAGGCTGGGATGATTTGAGAGGGTATTGTTGAAACATGTATATTATATGTGAAGCAGATGGCCAGTCCAGGTTTGATCCATGAGACAGGGCGCTCAGGGCTGGTGCACTGGGATGACCCTGAGGGCTGGGATGGGGAGGGGGGTGGGAGGGGGAGGTCAGGATGGGGGACACATGTACACCCATGGCTGATTCATGTCAGTGTATGGCAACAACCACTACAATACTGTAAAGTAATTAGCCTCCAATTAAAATAATTAAAAACTTTTCGTGTGTGTTTTTAATTGGATTTACTTGTTTATTTGGCTCTGGCTGCACTGAGTCTTCATTGCTTTGCACGGGCTTTCTCTCTCGGCGGTGCTCGGGCTTCTCACTGCGGTGGTTGCTTTGGCTGCGCAGCGCTGGCTCTAGGCACACGGGCTTTAGTAGTGGCCGCTGGCGAGCTCTGGAGAGCGGCCTTAGTAGTCATGGTCCGCAGGCTTAGCTGCACCTCGGTGAGTGGGATCTTCCTGGACCAGGGATGAAACCCACGTCCCCTGGATTGGCAGGCGGATTCTTGGCACTGTGTCAGCAGGGAAGTCCTGTTTTCTACTTTTTAAGTTACCTGACTGATGTGACAATATGTATGATGCATAGCAGAGGAAAAAGGACCTTAGGATGCAAACATTACCCTTTTGTACCGCTCGGTCCCACTCTGGTAGACTCTTGGGTCTTGGGTCAGTAGAGGATGAATGCTCCTATTCCATAACGTCTGTGGCCCATGTTAACACTTCAGGGATGTTTCCAGTAGGTCTTGCCTTCACATCATCCTTGTGCAGCTGTGTTTTCTGGATGAGACCATCGAGGGCTGGGTTATACCAAATGCTCATTCCCAACACCCGGATTCTCATCTTATGTCTTGTTTGCCAAGACAACAGGCAGAAGCAGCTTTCATTTCCATGGGCTTCTTTTCCTGCATCCCTAAAATTAACCTTAAAACACTTCATCAAAAAACCAAAATAAATCAGGGATGCCTTGCACATGGCAACCAGCTATTGGAGGAGGGGATCCTCTTGGGGAAGACATCTTCCTGTGATGCCAGGCCCTGAGAAAGCAGATCGGAATCAGAGCGTCTAGAGATGGAGGGAATAGAACATGATTACCTTGAGCTGGCAAGTCAGTAATGCCTGCGGTTATCTGGCTTCAGATGCTTTTGGGAAAATTAAAAAAAAAAAATTTCACAAGGGCTTCCCCGGTGGCTCAGTGGTAAAGAATCCACCGCTAGAGCAGGAGACATGGGTTCGTTCCTGATCCAGGGAGATGCCTCACGTCGCAGGGCAATTAAGCCCGGCAGCCACAGCTATCAGGCCTGTGCTCTCGAGCCCCAGAGCTGCAGCCAGCGAAGCTTGTGCGCCCTGGAGCCCGCGCTCCACAACAAGAGCAGCCCCCACAGTGAGCAGCTCGGGAACGGCAACTAGAGAGGAGCCCCCTCTCGCCATAACTAGAGAAAAGCCCGTGCGGCAACGAAGACCCAGCACAGGCAATTTAAACAAAGAAAAAGCTTAAAGGATTAGCTTATGTTTCATAAATAGGATCCTGAGAGCATCATGTACTTGTAGTATCCAATATGTTTTTTTTAAAAAAATATTTGTTTTATTTCTGGCTGTGCTGGGTCTTGGTTGCAGTGTGTGGGATTTAGTTCCCTGACCAGGGATTGAACCTGGGCCCCCTGCACTGGGAGCATGGTGTCTTAGCCACTGGACCACCATGGAAGTCCCTCAATATTCTCTTAATTACAGTCTATGAAATGATGGGGTGCAAGAAAGGAGGTGCTTCCTGCATCCAGGAGATGCTCCCAGCTTCAGCACGAGGCAGTTCAAATGGACTTTGCCATCTCATCCTCAGTGGTAATTGTTTTCCAGTTAATTCTCAGGAAGACAGATGTTTCCCATTTAGCCTTTTTAGAAAAGTACACACTAATAAAATAATCTTCAAATTAGCATGGCGGTAGGGCCTGCTGTTTACAACCCGTTTTAAAAAAAAAGACTCTGGCTTTGCCTGTCCGAGTTTCCGTCAGGAAGATGGGATTGCCAAGTGAGCATCATCATGTTGTCTTTGAACTTTCGTGTGCAGACTGTGATTTAGACGTGAACTTTCGTGTGCAGACTGTGATTTAGATGTGACAATGTTTCACTGAAGTGCTCTGCAGAAGCTGACCCAGTATTTATATATTTGTCAAACATGAAGTTCCTTCTACTTTTTTTTTCTTATGGGAAAAAAAATCTGCCTTTCTGATGAGACCTCATTAAATCTTTTTTGAATATTGGGCAAGATTTTTAGAAGTCTCTAGAGACCTGCTCCACTGGTTAAGCCTCTAAGGGATGAAAGATTCCAGGAGTGAGTCATGATTTAACTCAGAGAAAATTTGAATGAGCAGTGAGAAAAGACAGACACAGCAGAAGGATAAGAATCTGCCTGATCATTTACTTTTAAATTTTTAATTGATGCGGACTTGGGTTACAGTGATTCAGGCGTCCATCAAGGTGATTCAGAGATAGATAGATAACAGATTCTTTTTCAGACTCTTTTCCATTATAGGTTATTATGAGATATTAAGCATAGTTCACTGTGCTACACAGGGAAGGTC